TCCTCTAGCCTGCAGGTCTACACGAGGCAGCGAACACTACATTTTTGAAGCGATGGGGAGATGTTTATTTTTTTCCAGCACACAGAGCTTTATGGTTAGCATGCTGAGACATCCGCTCACACGCTTGAGCTGTTCTCAGTGCAGAAATCCTAGCGAAGCCTGTGTCCTCCTGCTGGGGCCGTATCGTGGCCGAGCAGCTGTGAGACAGGTACAGCGGGCCGTGGCAGGTGGAGATGCTTTGTGCCGGGGTTGTGGGTTTCGTCTTGCTGTGGCTGATGAAAATGTCACAGAAAAGCTATGTGCATTGATGACCAGCGCGACCGCAGCAAGTTAGAAGTTACTCGTCCTTGTGTAAAGAACATCAGCAAAGAACAGCTTTTATTGTAGACTACAGCAGAATTCATAGTATCTGTCTTGATAAAAACCTTGTGGATGCTGCTTATTTTTTAAAAGGTCACATATATTTTTTCTTGCACCAAAAATTTTTTTAATTTGGTTCCATTTTCTCTTTAATCCTTACACTTGATGCAAGTATGCAAATGCAGATTGTGAATTCTTGGCAAATAGGAATAGAGAATACAGTAGAAATCTGAAATATTGTACAAGACAACTGTTTTCTATTTGAATATTATATATATCTACTATAGGGGTCAAAATAGAACTTTAATAAAATATAAAAGTAAATAAATAAATAAATTGTAGCTAATTAAATTGTATTGTTTACAAATTACAACTGTAGCTCTAGACAGTTACCTATGGCTATTATTTTATTAATACAGTTGTCTGATTGATTTTATAGTCTCAAGCATTCAGAAATCACGCAAAAGAAAACTAAGCAGTTTTACTACGATAAAACCATGGTTAAGTTTTGAAAGGGTTGTGATGTCCACATGTTTTTGTTGAAGAAATTATTGAGGCTGTAGCATTTCTATCGCAAAAAGGTGGCCAAAAATGAAAGATTAAGTGGATATTTGAATTAGCCTAAATGTTTGGTCAATATTAAAGGACTTGATCATCCTGTAAGTGTAACAGCAGCAATTACCAGGCCTTTGGTGCCATTTGCAGGCATTTGTAATAATATGTAATGTACATAAATTGTTTATTTTGTATTACAGTACATTATGTATTTTAACAGTGTCATTCAATGAAACCATATATTTATTAATTAAGCAATCATTATTGACTCATTGTTTTATATAATGCATTTTAAGTCATTTTAAAGGCTGTTGTTGGCTTAGGTCTGATTTTATAACCACAAAAAAAAAAAATTCTTCTTTGTAAACTATTATTTGAAGTAACAAAACCTAGTAATTTGTAAGTAATTTGTGGTTACCATCCATGGCTACAAGAACAATGATTTTTGGTTTTATTCATAGTAAAACCATGGCTAATTTTTGTAAGGGAACATGGAAACTCGGAGAGAATATTAGATGCGTTGTTGGTGGTTAAATTAGCGTATTACTGACATTAAAACAGGTTATTAACGTCAACAACAAAAAAAGTTTCACAGGATTATAAATGTACCTGAAAGCGATCGGGCTTCATCTTTTTTTCTTTTTCTTTTCTCGGCGCCAGATTGCTGATGTCTTTTCATGGGCATAATTGTCCATCAGTTATGATCATTTGCATTCAGCTGCAAACATAAGGTGCGAGCGGTCGCGAATGCGGGAATGGCGCGTCACATGTGCTTTGGCCTACTGCGTTCATGTGTGTGTACTGTGTATATTTATTATGTATATATAAATAC